TCACAGTATGTCTTATAATATTTTTATATTATATTTTATATGTTAGTCTTTTTTGTTTTATTTCGACTTGAATAAAAGCAGTTTTGAATTTTTTTTAAAAACCGTTTGAAGGTCAATATTATTAGCCCTTTTAAGCTGTAAATTTTTTTTTTGATAGTCTACAGAACAAAGCATCGTTATACTGATAACCATATCCTGACTAACCTCAATAACCTAGTTAAACCTTTAAATGTCACTTTAAGCTGTATAGAAGTGTCTTGAAAAATATCTAGTCAAATATTGTTTACTGTCATTATGGCAAAGATAAAATAAATCAGTTATTAGCAATTAGTTATTAAAACTATTATGTTTAAAAATACATACATATATTCATATCACACAATGTATATCATAGAAACGCAAAATATCGCAATGTCAGAGTTTTTCAATAAAGTTAATATTCTGCACCCTATAGCACAGATTTATTTATTTTTTTATTTTTACAAAACTCTGTGCAAAAATGGCAAAAAATGTCGACATCGACTAATAACATTTTAGATTAATCTACAAAATTGTCTGTGGATGCTTGATGAGCCTCACCTTCACGCTCTCTCAGACCTGAATGAGCACATTCTGCAAAATGGTTTCAGCGCTTTGTTTTAAAGCTTTATTTAGCTTGGCTTTCCCCTGGAGGAAGATTAGTGGAGCCGTGTAAGTTCTCTTACATGTTGTCAGTGATCTCATGAAGAGCTGGGCTAAGCAGGATTTGGCTCACCCACTCAGACCAGTTATCCTCCCTGCTGATGTCAGTCATACTGTGTTTCTTTATGTCTATGTGCACCTGTGTGTGTGTTTTCATGCATGTTTAGTGGGTTAGTGTGCAGGGTGCTCTGGGAGATGTGAATACAGTATATAATGACTCATGTTGCTACAGGCAACAATTAAGCCTAAGGAGGGACTTTCCTTCAAGAATGTTTTATTCTTTATTTCTTAATATGAATGATTGCGTAAGAAAGTCTTTTTCCTTCTAAACCAATTTTATGTTAAACGTTATAAGATATTGACAGGAGTCATGATTATTTAAAAAGATTACAAGGCCATACGACCAAAACATTTAATTTATGTATTTAAATATTCTCCTTGTCTTTTGTTGTTTGATTAACAATAGCTATGTTTGCATCTACCCACTTTTTATGCACATTTTCGAGATGCACATAAAAAACAGTTGATGGAAACGCCATGATACGCATGAGTTTTAGAAATGCACATAAAAAATGTATGCGCATAACTGAGTAGGATAAACTTTTTTTATTCAAGGAGAAAAGATGCGTTTATACTTTGAAAACATTTTTACCGCTCAAATTACAGTATGCGCTTTAAAAAAGTCATGCGATTTTGTTAGAAGAGATCATGTGATGATAAAAATGTGTGTGAATGGACTAGTCAGCAGGCCGAGAGCATTGTAAAACATCTGAAATTTTGTTTTAGTTATTCTAAAACGCCGTCACCATTTCAGTATTAGTGTTATTATATTATTAATGACCTCCAGAATCAAGAGTGTCTGTGCTTTGCGTCTCACGCCTTCCAACACCAACATGGGTTTATTACATGTCAGCATTTGTTATCTGAGGCGCAAGTCATTTATTAAATAAAGAAAAGATTCACGCAACTTCTACCACAGCGAATTCAGTTTTTACTTTTGATATTTGGCGCCAGTTAATCAGGAAGTAACGATTTAGTTCTCCTTGACACATTCGATGGAAATACTTGTTTTGCATCTTTGGATGGAAACATCTGACTAATGACTAAGTAAAGTCAGCAACAGGAATATAGACTGCTGTCACTTTTATGTCGGGACACCAAGGCAATGGTCGTCCATTGGGCTTTATCTGTCCAGCTTGTTGTTAAGGTGTGTTCCACACATCAGCTCTCGTCATGTTAATGGAAGAGCTCGTTGGCTCAATTCAGCATTTAGAATTGGTGTCGACCACTGGCTGAAGTGAGTGCTCTGATTGGTTACAAAAGATCAAAAGAAAACCGGCACACTGCCACTTTAGCTATCAAACGTATTTAATATCACACACAACGTTTCGACCAAGATGGTCTTCATCAGGTAAAGCATTACAAATGTGTGCCGATTTTCTTTTGATCTTTTGCTATAAACTTTTATTTTTGATCGAGCACCTGCCTTTGAGATTTTCTAGATGTGCGCACATTTCTGTTTTTCACTCTGATTGGTTAATCATCAACGAATCAGAGCGCAAGTGTGATGTAGCAAGTAAACAATTAAAGTCAAGAAGGTACACGAATAGGATGGCTGTAGTTTTGCTACATTTCTCAAATATTTGCAAATGATAGGATTTATTAGATCATCAGACATTAGCAGGAGCAAATGCCTCTAAATGACACTGAGCACGTTTACATGGACAGCAATACTGTGATTTAAATATGATTAAGGAAATACTCTGATTTCGGGTCTGTCATGTACAGTAATTTTTGATGACCTTAATCTGACAAAAGTCACAATCGAACTGTCAATCTAATGAAGACATTTGAACATTATTGAAGTGCAGTACAGACCTGTAAACAAGCACCTTAAACTATTACCATTTTGTAATATTTTATTACATTTTGCAACAAGAAATGCACACAGCAGTGGACGCTTTTCACATTTCCAGGTTTCTCAGTAGCGGAAGTCTTCATAGTTGGGTAAACTTGGAGCGCAGTAAATAGGAGAGTACAACCAATAATATTTTTACAATTCTATTTGCTGAAATAATAAAAGAAAAAACTCCATGATGGTGTTATAAAGACTTCGCAAAAAAAATAAAAAATTGTGTGAGACTTATAACGGTAATTAGTCAATAAGCGGTAATTAGTAATTAATTAATTTGACGCAAAGATGATATAATACATTCATTAATGCATATAAATGTTCATACGTTTATTTCAGGCAAGAGAGCACATTGTTGCGGGTGCATGTATGAAAAGTTAGTGAATGAAATGGCAGAACAGCCCTGTTGCTTGAGAGTTTGTATCCATCGTCATCTGTTTAGACACATCGTGTGAGAAATTAACTGCACTGGTAGCAAAATTATAATCGAAACGCTGATGAACACAGACTGTTTTTGTGTGTGTGTGTGTGTGTGTGTGTGTGTGTGTGTGTGTGTGTGTGTGTGTGTGTGTGTGTGTGTGTGTGTGTGTGTGTGTGTGTGTGTGTGTGTGTGTGTGTGTGTGTGTGTTAAACTATGTAATTTCGAATAGTCATGTAAAGTAGTTAATCAAAGTATATGCTATAACATGTACAAACAGGAACATTCTTAAAGCTGCTCATGTAAACACCTTATTGATAGTATTGTCTTTTTCAGATTAAGGCAAATAATTTGATTAATGATGCTCACGTAAACGTAGTCAAACAAAACGCTGCTTTGTTATTGCTTTGCATGCACGTGCTGGAAGTTCTGTTTTTTCGTTCACAACACAAAATGCAAACAATGCATCATTTAGTACCACTGGTTTAGTAGCATTCGTCAGCACTAGTTGTTTGCCATCATCGACTTGGTGTGTCCTGGCCTTAAGAGCCAAGCAGATCTGGTTTACTGTTACGCATGCATTTTCCATTTCAACTCTTTAACAGAAAAAAAATTCTTTGGCACATTTAGAAAGAAAAGTGACATGACAATAGTCATGTTATATGATTTTGTTGATTTCCATGTGAAATTGGGCTTTGTGGAAATTTAAATGTGAACTGGTGAAAAAGGAACAGTGTATGAAGCAATAATCATTGTATCTCAGTTAATGTTACTTTTGGTGGAAGTACATGCTTTTTGGTATATTTGTCCCTCATGGACTGGGAGCAGTTTTAGTCCTATGCCATTTTGTGAAACTAAAATAGCTCAAACTACAGAGCAGGTTCTGATTCAGCACAGTAGGAAGTGAATCTACTAAATGTTGTTTGGGGAAATACATTGCTCATGTAATCCTGGCACAGGACAAGACATGCATATACACAAAGCTAATGCTTATTTCTCAGAGTTGATGATCAATATTAGATTGAACAATTCTAAAAAAAATACACGTTTGCCCTCGTTCCACATAGTAATCAGGAAAGTGGTCAAAAGTGGACAAGAGTAAGATTAAAACACTATTGTGCAAATTTGTTTTTTACCTCTGTAGGCAGGGTTCAACGCTAAGGATTTTTTATACGGGTCCGATCGGGCCATTGGTTAAGATTTTTACTTGCCCTGCCAAAATTCTCACTGGCCCCACCAAAAAAACTAAAACGTTAATAGCTATTTCTTCGCCACATATTTTAAATAGTGGCAAAATTATGCCTGTGAATCTAGAATTTAAACATTTTAAATATGTTAATAAATGTATAATGAGCAAAATTCAAGATTTTATGCAAATGAAAGAGCAGTATGAAAAATGTGCTGGTATTTAAATGCAATTCTAAATCATTTTTATAAAAATGGCTTGCCAAACTGACAACTGTTTTTTTTTTTTCTTCTTTTTTTTTTCAGTTTCTTAATTTTGTACCCATGTAATTTTCTGCTTCTAAGACTTTAGAAACAGACGTTTTCTTTTAGCCTCATTGTTTAATTTTGCCGTCATGTTGCCATCTTTTCGCTGTACTGGTTGTTACCAGGTTACAAAAAAAAAAAAAACGTGCTCATCGTTACTGGCCGATAGGGACCAGTAACAATCCTGTTTACTGTCCCGAGTGTCTTTTACGCTGGCCCCGGGCCACTGGGCAGTCCTTATTGTTGAGCCCTGGTAGGTTTGTTCAGGAAATAAAGCTGAAAGTAAAACTAATGTTGACCTGCTTCAGGCAGTCTGTTCTTTCTTTTGGGAAACCATTTCTTCATATAAACTCTGATCTGATCACTGACAACTTTGCTAACCTTTTACGTCCACAAACGACTATGTTAAGCACTTTGTGGAAGCTAATATCCGAAAATGGAATAATAGGAGCACTTTAATGTAATATATTTTGACTTTCCAATGTTTGTTTTCTACAGGCTGGCATGGTTTCGGAGCAACTGGGCCTGGGGCACAACCTTGACCTGTCTGACACCATGGTGCAACAGAAGCTAGATGAAATCAAGGAGCAGATCAAGAGGGAAATCCGCAAAGAGCTGAAGATCAAAGAGGGAGTGGAAAACCTTAGAAAGGTCACCACAGAAAAAAAGAGACTGGCATATGTTGATAATATGCTTAAGAAGTCCAACAAGAAGCTCGAGGAGCTGCATCAAGAGCTGCAAGAGCTCAACGCTCATATTGTGGTGAAGGATCCAGAGGATCTTCTCTTGGGTATGAGTAAAGCTCTTCTATGTATTTACACTACTTGTACATATGCAAAATTTGGCTAAATAAATTGTTTTGAGTTTAGCATATATCAATACTTATAATATTGTTTTTACTCATTTAAATAAAATGTTAAATTCTGTTGAACGTTATATTAATAATAATCTAAATGCGGCTTACTATCAAATACTATCCAAGATTCGAAAAATTCTGGAAACCTGTAGCCATTGTCATTGGTTAAAAATTTTCAGCTTACGTTAAAATATCCTCTTTAGTTTTTAACAGAATAAAGAAACTCTAATGTGATTCCAAACTATTATAAGTGAGTAAAATGTCAGCAAAATAAAGTTTTTGGGTGAACTATACCTTTAATTCTAATTGGTCAACAAACATTCTAATGCGGAATTCACACCAAATTCACACTGCGTCACTGGTTCTAGTTTTCTTGTGGGAGGCTCACGTAAAATTTTGAGATGAATGGTTTCGAACTTGCAAGGAAAACATGATTGTTGCAAATCCCATGCATTCAAGGCAAACGTGTCATGCATTTCAGGTCTTTCTATCTATTTGTCCTTTCGCGACTTTTTTGGTACTATACCAGCGTTAATATTTAATTTTGCACAAAGGCGAATTTAACAATTGTTTCTTAAAAAATAGGTGTGCCCGCAATTTAAGAGTCACTCATAAATATAATTAAATATTCAGTTCCATTTCATATTATTTAGCTTTAACAACTATGTACATGCATCAAAATTTAAATAAAATGTACTAAATGTGATTGAAAGATGTTACAAAACATGTCTGATGCTCTTGAGGTAGGATATGGGTAGGGTGAGGGGATAGGTTTGGTGGTATGTACAGTTTTAAGTGTGGGTTTAGATGTAAGGGATGGTCAACAATCAGAGATATGATTCTTCCGTATAAAATCAGATATCTGTATTTTCCGAGCTCAGTGAGGCAAGCCCTGTAATTTGGGTGGTGGGGTCTCCATCATCATCAAAACAGACAACCTGCTTTATTCCCGATGTCTTTTAGGGATGTAATCGTAGACCTACTTTGGCTACTGTGTATAAAACATAATGATATTGTGTGGTCCTATAATGTGAAGCCATTTACAATATGCAAAATTATGAATTGCTTTGAATGCATGCGCAGCTGTGCACTTCTTCCATGCTTACATTTGCATGTCACGACCACGTGCACTCTGAACATTTATAAATAAAGCTGCAGGAAGCACATTTGTTATTATCCTCTTCAAGTCATCTGTCTTTATGTCTTCATTCAGTGCTACAGCCTAGCACCTCAAATTGAATACCTGAAAGTGTCATAAGCTTAGATCATGGCTTAAAAGGTATTAAGTTTATAAATCAATGTAGAGAAATTGAAGGCACTTAAAGTATTTAAAAAGCCTTAAATGCTATTTTGCAAGGTATTTAATTTTATATCATTTTTGATTATACAATGTATGGTTGTATGATAAAGTTTACCTGTAATAAATCTGTGAATATCAGGATGCTGTGTAGTTGAAATCAATGAAATCCTTGACATCCTGGTACTTTGTTTACTGCAGTAACCAAGGCAACACCATTATTTCTGCTGTTCTATAGGCGCCGACCTGCTGAATTAGCTAGATTTGATAGATTTTTTTATTCAGTATATGAATAATGTTTTCGTATTTTATTAGTTTCTTACATGAATATTTAGTAAATATGCTGTAAGTTAAAAACTCGCCAGTGTTTCCGGTTAAAGTGGTTATAAAGTCTTAAAATGTATGGAAAGAGTCTTAAAGTCTTAAAAGGTATTAAATTTCTCTCTCTGATTTCTGTATATACTCTCTAGATGATACTAAAAATGGTTAAAAATATCTTTATAAAAGAGTAAGAAACTTTTTTTTGTCATGTATGATATATTTCTAGGGTGGAATGTTGAAGTATATAAGGCTATTTAATTCAACTGGACGTAATATTTTTTACAGTTCAAATTGTTGACTGACTAGTAGTTTATTTATCACATTGGAAATAAAGAGTCGACTAAATTACAGGGAAAGTTATATTCTGTGTAAAAAAGAGAAGTAACCACGTTAGTGGCCCCATCTAGCGGTGGTGTGTGGATCTGTCCCAACATTTGAGGTACGAAGTATAAACCTATTAAATTTTACTTGGGTCAATATTAAACTGCTAAACATTTAAAGCGATAACACAAAAAAAAATTAAACCTAATTGTGTGGCTAATAACAATTTAATAATATTTTTAAAATTTATATTATTTTTTTTAATTATTATTTTTATTTATCATTTATTATATAAAGTGGGACCAAATATTTATATAGAGATTTTAAAAATGCATTGAAATATTGCAAGCATTTAACCCTGTTTTACTAATGCTTTTTTGAATGGGCTTTATATTGTCCACAAAACACTTTTGATTGCTTTGAAGATTATACATAGACTTGTGAGAAATGTGAGCCAGTAGCACACACAGCAGGTGCAACAGGTGTAGCACTTCTTCTAAACCGAATGATTATACTACAACCTCCTTTGAACTATAATATTTTGTTGTGAAGATCTCCACAAGAAGCTTGATCAGATCTTTTTCCCTGCTACTAACCACATCCTTGGATGTGGCAAGATTTAGCCTGGGATGGAAACCTTATCAGATGAGAAGGGGCTTTTGTTTGGTGACTCGGCGCAGGAGGAATGTTGCCCGGGTGTCACACCTCTGTGTCAACCTCCTCATTCTGTGTCCGCCGAGCAGAAATCAGCAGATCTGCTGGAAGACAACAACAGCCTCTCTGATGATGTCATAGTGGCCGACTGTTGCCCGGATAGTTGATTGGGTGAAGCTGCTGCCCTCACTGCTGACTCGGGTCAAGCCTTTTGCAGCCCTTTACATCATCGGCTCTTATTACAGCAAAGGCACAGGCACAGCTGTTTGGTTTTTTTGTAGCATACACACACACACACACACACACACACACACACACTACTGTTCTAAAGTAGAAAATAATTGAGCCATGTCAGAAGAGTTCTTGCCCTCAGTCATGCTGCTCCAAGTGCCGTTTCATACTCTCCCAAGAGAAATAATGAATCATTTCTGGAAATTGTTTTTAATTTCAGACAGGTCAGCTTTATTGCCCTATGTTTAAAATGTTATTTATTCCAGTAGTGGTATAAAGCAGAATTTTCACCAGTCATAATTTGGTGTCATGAAATCCTTCAGAAATTATTGTCACGTTGATTTGTTGTTCAATTATTGTTGGTGCTCAAATGTTAACAGTGGTTCATAATTCCTTATTACTTTTACATCATATTATGCATCCTTGCTTTATATATTTTAAAGATTGTACTGGCCTCTGAACTTTTAAACTTTAAATGTCCCACAAAAAAATTAAGCTAGAAAAATCAAAACGTATGGTAGTGAGAAATGTTTGTTTTTGAGCATCAAATAAATAGATGACAATTATTTATAGGGGAACATGTAACTAAAGACTGGATTAATGAAATTGTAGTGTGATGTCATGTGTATTCATATAGCACATTTATTGTGTATGGCCATGTACCCAAAGCGCTTCACAATCATGTGGGCTGAGTGGGCCTCTCCACACCACCATCAGTGTGCACTATTCACTTGGATGATGCGACAGCAGCCACAGATCAACGACTCTGATGCGCTTACCACACATCAGCTATTGGTGAAGATGAGAGACCATGATACCAGTGGCGCAAAAAGGGGGTATGCAGTATATGCGGCGCATAGGGGCGCCACACATGGGGGGGCGCCATTGTGCCAAAACTATTTTTCAATTTTTTCTTATAATTATATATTTTTTATACATATAAATGCATATTTTGATTAAAAATATTTATCCTGCATTTTAAATAAATATACAATTGTATTTTATTGAATAAAAAAAATTATACCACCCCTCCCTCTTCTTTGACCATTTGATTGATCCGTTGCTCGGTTACAGTCACATGTTCAAAATGGAGAGAAGAGTAAAGAGACGTGGAGCGCGAAATAGAAAACAAAAAGAGAACAAACAATGCCTTAAAATGAAAAGTGCCATGACAAATTGGATAATAAGGGATTGGTAAGCTTAACCCACACTATTATTACCATACGTTTAATCAACTTCTAATGTTTTTGGGAGCGACGGGCAGCCATATCATTAATTATTCATTATCGCCACTCAGTCACTGCATGCAAGGACTTTTACTTAAAATAAATGCAGGTGAGGTGGTTTTGTCCAGGCAGGGGGACAGTGACGCACGGCCACACCTAACTGCGTCCGAAATCGCATATTTGCATCCTGTATAGTATGCGAAAAACACTATAATTCTATAGGCTAAAGCCACGATGAGCTGGTGTAAAGTTAACTTTATGGTAAACGCTTTTGATAGTAGTAGATTTATGGACCGTCAACTTCAAAAGAGAACATTTTTTATTTACTGCATTTAAATATTGATTACAGTTACTATAGTTATTTACAAAAGAGCAAAAATGAATTTAGTTTGATCCTCTGTTTTGTTTGATAACAGAGGTGTGAATCTGACTTTAAGAATGCAATGAAAACATTTGTTTTGTTTATGCTAATATAAGATAATATTACTTGTGTTTCAAATAAAACATGTTTACATATTATTGTGTATTTGTCTATTTACACACCTGAATCTTAAAGTATGCGCTTTCATTCATCTTCAAATCGCGTGTATAGAAGCCGTCTTTATCACTATGGGGTGCGTCCGTCACTCAGTACCGTTATACTGATTCAGAGGCTGCATAAGGGCGGCAATAGACGCATAAAGCTTTACTGGAAAGGACGTGAACGCTGCCGTTTTTACATTAATTTTAACGTGCTGTCAATCCAAAATAATGTGAAAGCTTAATTCTCTTAAACAGTTCTTGCATCACATTTGAGATCGGCTCTGTGCAGCTGCTACTTTCACTTTTCATAGAAACATTACAAAGGCAGAAGAAATACGGGAAAATACACACACGGAAGAGCG